GGGTCATTTGTGTTCAACACAATTCATTATTTGGTTATTTGGCATAATTTGCACAATTGCTTACATTATAAGCCGCTGTAAGACCTCCATTATCGGCAACGTTCTCACCAATTGTTTGCTTCCCATTCACCTGAAATCAACAAATCAAACATATTATCAATGTTAGGGTTAGAATGGTTTGTAGGGTCATTGTAGGCATACATACATGTTCACTTCCAATCGTGTATTTACTAATAATAAAATATGTAAAAAACACTTATGAATAAAGCAAGAAAACATTGATAATGAATAAAACATACTTATACTGGTCAATAAAGCACTTCATCCTATCCTCAAACTTTCTAATTGTGCTATTCTTCCACCACTGGTGAAGATTCCCACTTTTGTCGTACTCTCGACCCTGATCTGTACGATAAAAACATATTTCACGCATTTGTCAATAGATTGTTCACACATATTATCTTTACCATCAAATGCGTGACTGAGTTCGTGGCCCATCACTACCTGCGTGAAAGAGATTACAAATAAAGTCAATAATTTATAAAATTTCATTTCATTTGCTTACCCCCATTGCTCCAAAATTTAGTGACTTCGGATAATTAATGTCGTAGAAGGGCGCCTATACCAACATATTCACCAATTAGTTGTATTTAATATTAGAATATTATTACTGTATGTCTATTGAGAGGCCACACTTTAACATTCAAACTCATTGTAAAGAATATAAAAAATCGATTTACAGAATATAAATAAATCTCATAATTATTGTACAAATTTTCTCGTTTAGAATAATAAAACTGTTTGACTGTCTGTTTGGCTGTATCTATGATTATGACAATACCTGTAGTATTCCGGCCGGAAATACTGTAAATAAACCAAACAATTTAGAGACAGTTTTAATACGTATAGTGAGAAATGAAAATTACCAATCTGATTTTTTGTAGGCGTATAATATGCGTTAACAGTAGGCGGAGACATTTCCCATTCAGATTTATTTGCCTTTAAGTTGTGATATTTTGTATTAGTATTATACAACAAATATTAA